CTGGGGCTGGGGCTGGGGCTGGGACTGGGGCTGGAGCTGGGGCTGGGGCTGGGGCTGGGGCTGGGGCTGGGACTGGGACTGGGGCTGGCTGCTCCCCCTCTGCTGGGAGGGGAGGGTGCCCAGCACCCTTGGTCAGGAGAACAGCCTGGGGTCACTGCCCTGTCCCTGCTCTTGGGATGCTCTGGTCCAGCTCGTGGCCTTCGTGCCTGACAATGCACTGACATCTCACAGTTAGTAACAGATATTAGGAGGGGTTTTATGGTGTGGGTTCATTACCCCATCCTGGCAGTGTAAGTTACACTTCAGTTGTATTTATATCTTCTTTGGGCTGACAGAGCAATGGAATGGCTCACAGGAACGACAAAGGAATTCAGCAGCATGGGAAAGGGAGAAGGGGTGCATTGTTAGATAAGAATCTGAATTCTTCCCTTGCAAATACAAGCAAATTCCCACTGGAAAGGAATGTCACATTAGCAGATTGGACAAAAAGGAAAGAGAGAAATACACAGTGGGGGAATGCATGGTTTGAATTAAGATCTGAGTCTTGGCTGCCTTTCATTTCCACATCATAACGATCAAGCCCAATCTTTACTACACAAGCCACAGGCTTAAAAATAAATGCACATGTAATACTTTGATATTTCATGAGATAAAATTGTTAGGGAAATCCATTCCAGCATTCAAGTCCCCAGACAGAACAATCAGAGCTGGTCTAAGAGGAGCTGCTGAGAACAGTATTCCTTTGCCTTTATTTGGGGGAGGGATGTATTTGTTTTCTGCAGAGCCAACCATTTCTTTCCTCTGATGTCCTGCCTCACTCCAGGACCCTTGCAGCTGACCCCAGCAATTGAGGGTTTATTCACAAATACTTTTATTGGTGCTATGGTGAATGAAGACCAATAAAAGGCCGCTTTATTCTGAGCATGGAATAAAATCAAATATCCTGATCTGTGTTTCTAAGCAGCAGAATTCTCTAAAATGCAAGCAGTTTATCCCAGAAGGTTTATCAAATGGTATCTTTGGGCTGATAAGCCACAGTGTAATTCAAGGGCAGAGAAGGCGGTGGAACTGCCACAGGTCAAGAGCTGAAATGACACCTGTAATGGGGGGAGAGAACAGCAAAGGCACAAGGGAGAATTTAGACAAAATACGTCTTGATAAAGCTTTTTATGTGCTTAAGGAAAGCCTGGTGATAATCAACAGTGGTTGTGGGAAGCAGTTTCTCCATCTCTGGGCTGGATTTTGCTGTCATTAACATGACCTAATGAACATTCTCTGACTCACTTCACATCACAGCGCTGCAGATCATCCCTGTGGGTCATTGTTCTGCAGCTGAGCACTCTGTGTGTGTGTGAAGGGAAGAGAGAGGAAAAGTGGGGGAAAAGAAAGGCTGGAAAGCAAGATAATCCCTCAAACTCTTTGTTTATGCTTGATAATTAAAGAGCAAGGACATTTGTCACCTCAGAGTTGAGGGCATGAGACGAGGGGCAGCAACTTTGCAGGTGAGAAGGCTCCAATCCATCTTCATCTTGTGAGAGTAACTGGAGGACCTTGTCACAGATTTGGAGGGGATTTATTGATGTGGTACACAGGATTTGCAGAAACAGCTCCTTTAAGGACATGGCACTAAATCATTTCCTTTTTCTCTCTTCTTTTCTTTTTAGCTTTTCAGAATTTATAATCATTTGGGAAATTCACTTCCTTGCCCTGCCTTTGGCTTTCCTTTAATGATGTGAATGAGAGGAGATGATCTCTTGCCAAATAGAATGTTTGGGCTGATACAATATATTTTGGCAGGATTTTAAACTCTCTCCCTCTTTCTCTCATTTGTTTTCTTTCCCTTCTAATTAATGTTGTCCATACTATGGGCATGACAACGTTGTTTTGTGAAAAAAATTGGTTCCTCCTATAAAGAAATTCTCTTGGAAATAAAAAACATCAGTTCTGGTAGAAAATAATGGCTAAGCCAGTGCACACCTCTGTTATCTACAGTAAATCACACGTGGGCCTGCAAATTTCAGCTGACTGCCATCTCATTTTTCTGTCTCTGCTTCATAAAACCAGGAATGCAGAATTGTAGAGCAGTGGCGTAAAGAATAAAAGTTGCTTTGAAGTTGCTGGCAACTTTGTCCAGATGCACAAAGGATTTAGTGCCGTGAATCCCCTGGCAGAGATGTGGAGCTGTGGTGCCACCGTTTCCAGCCCTACCTGGAGTGGATCTTACAGGGCACTGATGATGTGCTGGAAGTGATGCTGGTGTTTTCCCTGGCTCAGGGTGATGAAAAGCCAGCGTGCTTTCCCCAGTGGCACGTGAGGCTGACCTTGGTTTTGGGGAGAAGGCAGGCAGCAGGGTGCTGAACTGCCTGAGGAGGTGAATCTCTGCACATATCCATTAAAAAAAACCCTTTGCTTTCCTGTGACCAGGGTTGCTCTGCTATAGATTTCTGTGATAGAAATTCGAGCTGTGCCCTGCAGCTCTGTGTTTGTCTGTTCAGCTATTTCAGGGTTATTTCTCTAATGAAAGATCAGATGTTTTAATTTCCTTATGCAGTTCACCCTTCCCAGCTTCTGAGTTACCCTGGCTCCATTTCAGCTCTTTGAAGTAAATTTGAATCACCAAGAACTTTATCTTCTTTCCTGTTGTGCCACAACTTATTTTTCTTCTTTCAGTCCCTCAAGTACTTGCTGACAGTGCTTTGGAAATCAAATATCCAGTACAGCCCAACCTTCTGCCCAGCTAAATGCCTCTTACTGTTTTCATTGAAAAGCTTTAAATTCAGCTGGAAGGGTAGCAATTCTCTTTGTTTATAACCACAGCATAACAAATTGCAGCCAATTGAAAACCATATTAAGTTGTAAATTTGTGTTATGACTGGACATTAACAGGGTGGCAATGTTTTTCCCCGGTGCTGATTTTTCAGCCCAGTTGTTCTGATGTACCCAAGTGTGAAGTTATTAAAGCCATTTGTGGTTTAAGTGTGAGAAGGAAAGAGCTTCACTTTTGTGGGAAGTTGCACTCTGGCAATCTGCCTGGCCGTCTGCTGGCTGCACAGGCAAGACATAGAGCAAATGAAAAATTAAAGAAATGTCCTGCAAAGAAAGCTATTGAGATGTGGAGAAGTAAATATCTGTGTCATCTGGATAGGATTTCACTTGGCAAAGAGCTGACCTCTGGCTTTGTGTTTGCTTCTAATGATGACTTCTGACAGTGCTACCTGCAGAGCACAAAGACAGACCAATTAAATCCAGACCATTTGTATTTTTATTGTAGAGATCATGCCAGAATCCCCATCCTCCTCTTACTGACACAGGAATTTGGTGGACTTTTTAATTGTCTCAAGGATAAAATGTGTTCACTTTAAACAAACCTTTCTCCAGCAAAATGGCAATTGTTCTGCGAGTCTTTTTCTTTCAGATGAATCTTCTGAATCTGCTCCAGCCATTCCCAGGATACTGTGGTGGCTCCTTACTCCTGCTAAGATACTTATTGCCTTAATTTGACAGCTCCTCATGACACCTGTGCATGTGGAACATGAGGAAAATAAGTGTTCTGTCAAGTGCCTCCGGTAATTTTTGTGATTTGCCTTTTTCGGCTTTTGTACGACAGGAATGACTTTCCTTCCAGAGCTTGTAAAATTGTAGCTTGCTAATGAGTACTTTGGTAATAAAGACACCTCAGATCAACTATTTTCTATGTCCTTGTGCAAAAGCATTTGCAGGAGGGTAACAGTGGAGCCCTTAGTGATGGATGTGGCCAGTTTCCTGCCCCATCAGTCGAGGCTTGCTGTGCTTTGAACGCAGCGCAGTCACCGTGGCCCATTTCCTCAGCTGCCGGTCAGAGCTGAGAGATGGATGAGCTGCAGCGGCTCGGGCTGGTTTATTGTCTTTAACCATCTCCCTGTCCTTTCAGGAAGCTGTGGTAAGCACCTGGATCCAGTTCAGTGACAGCTCTGTTACTCCACTGGACATTTACGACCCCAAGGACTTCTCCCTGTCGGCCGTGTCGCTGGACGAGGCCGTGGTCTCCGTCCGCCACAGCCCTGCCCTGAAGTGGCCCGTTGTGGCAGCGGAGGGCGAGGGCCAGGGAGCGCTGATCAAGGTGGACATGATGATCTCTGAGGCCTGCCAGAAGTCCAAGAGGAAAAGCGTGCTGGCCGTGGGGAGCGGCAGCATCAAGGTGAAGTTCGGGCAGAACGACGCGGACGCGGACGCGGGCGGCGATTACGACGCGGACGAGATCGAGAACCACGCGAGCGACCGGCGCCACAAGGGCTCGGAGCAGGAGCGCCACGGGCAGGACGGGCGCTACTACGGGAGCTCCTCGGCAGAGAGGGACGAAGGGCCCCTCAGGAAGGTCAGCACCACGGCAAAGTCCATCCTCAAAAATAAAGTCGTCAAAAACAACCGGCTGGACGGCGGCAAGCTCTCGGACGACAGCCAGCTGCAGAACATCCCCATTGACTTCACCAACTTCCCCGCCCAGGTGGACCTGCCCAAAGGCGGTGCTGGCATGGAGGACAACGACCTGGTGCAGACACCCCGGGGCCTCAGCGACCTGGAGATCGGGATGTACGCTCTGCTGGGCGTCTTCTGCCTCGCCATCCTGGTGTTCCTCATCAACTGTGCAACATTTGCACTCAAGTACCGCCACAAGCAGGTCCTGGTGGAAGGACAGACCACCATGACGCACTCCCACGACTGGGTGTGGCTGGGCAACGAGGCAGAACTGCTGGAGAACGCGGCAGACGCGTCGCCTCAGCAGGACGAGCACACCACCATCATCGACCGGGGCTCGGCGAGCGAGGAGAGCAACCAGCTGCTGAACGGCAGCGCCCAGAAGAACACTCAGAGCCAGCTCCACAGGGCCGCAGACCCGGGGGGGAGGCTGGGCAAGGAGCACAAGGTGGAGCCTTTGCACTCGCCCACGTCCAAGAGGAAGCGGGTGAAGTTCACCACGTTCACCACCATCCCGCCCGACGACGGCCGCCCCACCGTCAACTCCATCCTCAGCAGTGACGATGACATTAAGTGGGTGTGCCAGGACATGGAGCTGGGGGACTCCAAAGAGATACGAAACTACGTGGGGAAGTTCAAAGACAAAGCGTAGCTCCCTGCCAGGGTTTTGTTTGGGTTTAACCACACCTTGATGCCTTCAGTTCTACAGTATATATTGGGATGGGCACGGGGAGGGGAAGGGATCGCCAGGAGAAATGATGAGGCAGTTTTTATAATCAGGGAAAGAAATTTGCCAAACTCTCCGTGGTTTGTTTTTGTTTTTCACTTCGTTTCGTTGGGCTTTTTTGTTGTGGGGTTTTTGTTTTGGTTTTTTTTTTTCCCCCAGTGGTTTATTCTGCTACTCGTGGATTTAGGAAGTGGAATACAAATAGCAGAAAGGAACAAGGAAATGGTATGACCAATATGATGAACTGGGCAAGATGAGGTTGTGAAAATTCGTTTTATGGGTCATACAAATAATAATGATAGTAATATTTCACAGTACCAAAAATATCTGTAAAAAAATGAGAGAATATAAGAGCATGAAAAGAACAAGAGGCAAACAATAACTTGTTCTGGTTCCAATAAAACATCACAGTTATGGACATATGACCCACAGGGAGACTTTTTATATTGGTACTCAAGCCATTTCTTTTCATTCCTTTGGCTGAAATGAAGATGTGTCTTCGGCACTACGTGTGAAGGAGGAAGAAATCACCTGGTATTTTCATTTTTATTTTTCCATTTTTCTTGTAAATTGAAGCAGAATCATTTTCCCTCTTGTATTTTTCTTTTAAATATCTTGAAAACAGGAAAATTTAGAATTCAGTAAGTTCACAGTGGGCCAGGAACATGCTGTTTCTAAGTTAGCTGTAAACAGTCTCCTGTCATTTAAAGAATTCAGGGGATAAATACTGACTAATAATTTCCACGTGGTGTCTCTTCTGGAAGCCTGAGCCTCCGTTTCACCCTAGCTACAAGGATGTTGTGTTTGGAAGAGTTTTCATTCTCCTTTCAGGTTTGGATTGTTTGTTTAGTTGCCCATTTTAAATTTCCACAACCAAAGTTCCTGCGTTTCAGCAAGGGAAGAAGGTGCTGGTTTTTGTTTTTGTTGGCTTCCACAAGTACCAAGCAATGGGAGTGCCCCACTGGTGCATCAGAAATGTCCCTGGAACTGAGACCTTCACAGGCCAGACACGGAGCCTGCACTCGGGTTCTTTGGGTTTGGGGTTTTTATTGCCAGGTTCATGAATTCACAATTGTGTGCTGTAATTTTCTGTTTCTTCTGATGTCACCAACTCTCATCAAGCTCCGAAAGCAAGAAGAAGAATTGACAGAAAGACCCTGATTGCCCCCAAACTTTTATTCCCTTGTACTGGGAGAGCTGGCCTCTGGGCACACCGTTGGGAGGGAGGGAAATATTGCTGAAGCAACATCAAGAAATAGCTGGAGCTATTTTATAGATTTATTTTTATTTTTTTTTTGCCATTGGACCAGCTAAGACTGAAAGGTTTTGACTAGATTGTAAATCTGATGTTTTGCATAAACAAATACCAGCCCAGTAATAAATCAGAAGCAAATACAAAATAGAGATTTAATTAGTGATGTGAACTGGCAGAACTGCTTTGACTCAGTGCCAGTTCACATTCATGGAGGACACAGATCAAAATCCACTCGATGAGAAACCACTGTCCTCCCAAACCTCTCCTGACTAAAAGGAGGTGGTAGAGCCAGCCTTTGGAAATCAGTATTATGTCCTGACTGTTAGCCAGAAGCACTTGCATCGTCCTGTCTTTGCCATGTGTTTTGTTCTTTTGGGTTTTTTAATTACTAAACTCCGTAGTTTGTTTTGTTTTTTTTTACTTGGACAAAGTCAATCCTGCCACCCAATAACATAGATGGACATTTTAACAAGATATGCCTAGTATGCATTGTAGACTGAAAGAATGTAATATTTATTTATACATGTTATATGAATTGTAATTAAAATGCTTTACACGGCTTGACAAATTAACCTCTCTTTCCTCAGGGCGGGGCTCCTCTGTGCAGAGCTGCCCCCACTGCCCCGGAAGATGATTTAAGCCACTTTCTGGAGGGAGAATGGGGATGTGGGGAAGGTTTTCCCTGCTCTGCCCGTCCCGTGGTGAAGCCCTTCCCCTGCCCAGGCAGCGTGGTGATGATGATGGATGGCAGGAGCAGCTCAGGCAGGCACAGGGCAGGGCAGTGCCACAATCCATCTTCTTCTTCTTCATCCTCGTGCCTCCAGAACTCGCTGCTGGCCTGGGCAGCTCCTGCTGTTGATCCATTCCTTCAGTCATTCCTTGATTGTGTGGCTCCTCCTGGGAGAACACAGGTGTCCCTGAGGGGGAGAAGGCTTTCACAGCGTGGAGCTGCAACAGACAGCAGCAGAGGAGTGAGAAACGCAGTGCTGGAGCAAAAACCCTGCGCTGTGGTAGCACAGAGTGTACCAGCTCCAAGGCATTTTTCAGGAGGGAGCTCTGTGCAGCCCCCACCAGGGCTGGCACCTCCAGGGACACAGTGCTGGTGGCAGGACAGGGGCAAGGTGACCAGATCGTGGCTCTGTGCAGAGGAGCACAGGCTGGATTTGAAAAGACAACAGAAGGAGAGAAAAGGGAAAAATACTGAGCCCTGCCTTCACGTTTAATTTTTCTGAAGCTGCAGAACACAGGCCTTCGGAGGCCAACACTGAAATTCTTCAACTTGTCTTGCACTGACCAAAAATTCTGTCACAGCCCTGTTCTGAGCGAGCCACCAAAAACCGTCATTTCAGCAGGGAGGAAACCACTGGGCTGTGAAATATCATTTATTTGAGAAATTCACATTGGGTCAAATGGCAGGATTTCCATTTCTGAAGCTGTGGCACGGCGCGGTTACAGAGGCACTGGGATGGGGCACGGGGAGCTGCTGGAGCTTCCCTCCCGTCACCACAGCTCACCTGGCAGGAGAGGGAATCTGCCAGGGACACAAAGATAACATGCTGCAAGGTACATCTCCCTGTCAAGGAGCCAGGAGAGAAATTCATTAATAATAATTTGCTCTTAGAAGAGAGCCTTTGATCTGAGCAGCTCGGCAATTTGCAGTTGGAAAGGATGAGACGAGCAGGGTGAAGCGGCCCCGTGTCCTGGCAGGGGACGGTGCTGGCTGGACGTGGTCCCCTCCTGCCTGGAGCAGAGCTGGAGCTGCTGCTGGAGGGGAAATGAGTGAAATCACCTGGAAGAGCCGGGAACAGCCCGGGCAGGTGGGGAGGGTCAGGAGTGTGATGAGAGGCAGCTGTGGAGAGGAGAGAGCAGGGGAAGGTCAGTGAAACTCTGCTGCTGCTGAGGCCACAGGGACAGAAGGGACTTCGGGGGCAAAAAAAGTGAGTCCTGCTTTTATTCTTCTTTATTACTGAGCTCTGTTTGGAGGGAAGGGGAAGTGTTACGGCTTAAGTGTGCTAAGTGTGGCAGTCAGCAGGAGAAACTTGATCCTGCTCTAGCTTTGGCAAGGGAATGAGGTGCAGCATCCCCAGGGCACATCCTGAACCCTGCTGGATGCTGCTGCTGTGGCTGAGCTGCTGGGCAGTCCATATCCCTTCCCCAGCACACTCACTTGCCCTCAGCTCCAGAAATGCGTTGACACTGATTAAATTGGAGAGCTGACCTGGAAAAGGCTCTCGCTTTTGGAGAGCAGCAGCGAATCCCTGGTGGGAACAGGACAGCGACCCCCCTGTGCTCCCACTTCTCCTTCCCTTGCCAAGCTCCAGACCAAGTAGCCCTGGCAGCAGGAGGATTTGCTGTGTTTTGAAATGCTCCTAGGCCAGATTTCAGTGCTCAGAAACGAGCTGCCAGCAGAGATGCAGCGGCAGACAGAGATAATGATGGAAATCACCAAATAACTCTCCCTCTTGATTACTTATTTTGGACAAACTCAGACCCATTCTTTTTATGCTCATGTGGAGAATTAAAGCTCTTTGTGTGAAGCAACAGTGCCAGAGGCAGCCTGGGCCATCCTGGAGACTGTCTGATGTTGGGCTGAGCCGTGCTAATTGCTAATTGCACACACCTTGTGGTAACTGCACACACCTGAGCTGATCCTCTGCCCGTTCCCTGGGCTGCTCTGTGGCTCCCAGGCACTCTGCCCATGTCTGGAGGTGCAGTGCTGTGTCCAGAGATACCTGGTCCCCTCTTTACCCCTCCTGTTCCCCTGGAGCCGGGATCTGCAGGGTTTGGGGCAGCTGCTTTGCTCTGTGGCCACTGAGGGTGGTGGGTGCAGACACTGGGGCACCTCTGGCTGCTGGAGTAGCTTCCCAGCCCCTCTGAGCTGCCAGGGACAGGTTTATTGCCCTGAATTCAAATAATTTGAGTGGCAACTGAATTCCTGGAAGCCACAATTTAGTCTGGAACCCCTCATGAGCAGATTGCAGTAATTACCTGGTCTGGCTCCCAGTGCAGGTGGCAGGGGAACCTCGCAGGAGCTTCTGGGGAGTTTTGTCACAGTCTCCCAGTGGAAGGAGCCCTTGGCTGAGGATTGCCAGACCCTGCTCCTTCACTGAGGGTTTCTGTCACTGGTGGGGATTTTAAGCTGCCATCCAGCTTCCTGAGACTGCAGATTGAACTGTCACCTTTGCTGATGGAAAGCCACTGGTGCAAGTTTGTGCTTTGCATCTGTGGGGAGAGGGGAGGTGGGAAGAGATGTGGGCAGGTTTTATTGCGGAATGGAAGGATCAGAGAACGGTTGGCTGAAGGGTAGGGTTGTTTTCTTTGCTTTCTGTAGTCTTTGTATCATTTCCATGAGTGCTGTGCTCTTTCCTGGTTTGGAGTGATAATTCTGCTTTGGGGGTGAGAGCTGCACAACCCCCCTGAGGTGCCAGAGCCTCTGTGCCAGCCCCTGAGGAGCTCTGGGATGGGCAGTGCTGTTGGTAAGGGATGTTAATCCAGTGTTTTCAGGTGCTGGGGAAGGTTTTGGTTCCCAGAAGGAGTTGTACAGCTTGTGAGGCTGCTGCTGGACAGCTGCACTGGCACTGGAAGGCCCTGAGTGAGACACAGGCACCCAAAATGCTCAGGATTGTCACATCAGTGTCAGCTGGCAGCCACTGCTAGAGGAGCAGAATTA